GGGGGGGATTTGCACTTGGAAGGCAAAAAAGCTGTGTGTGCTTGTTAGAAACAACCAAACTAAACTACTATTAAAAAAAACAAAAAATGGTGTCTGCAATAAATAGTTAAATAGAATAGCAACAAACACTAGTTGTCAAAAATGTTTTACTCACTGTTCGGTCTTCAAGGTACATGGTTTTCGACAGGAAATCTATTCCTATTGTGGCCTGGAAATGAATGACAAGTAGTAAATAAACAAGCATAACCTTCTTCAACTCATCAATGAATGAACTTTTCATGAGTGATGAAATCAGGTGGAGGTGTTGGTCTCACTTGGTAAGTGTTGTCGAAGCTATCATACATGAACCTGGTGATCAGAGAAGTCTTTCCCACTGAAAAACAAACGGAAACAAAGTAAATGCCCCGATACACTTTTATTTTGTAGCTTAAACAGTTCTTATTTGGAATGGCTAAAATAATGTGTGGCTATAGCAAGTAGGGCTACGAGTCTTTGACTAACTGACTAATTATCCATCTATCCATTATCTTCTATTTTTTTTAAAGCCCAATGTGAGAACTTGAAATTACTCTTACTTATATGCGAAACATTCCAAAACAAATGTATTTATAATGATACAAAACACAGAAAATAATTATTCTCACATTTGAAATGCCGCAATTTCTTGCTTGACAATGATCAAACAAATAACCTAAAAATAATTGCAGAACACTTTTCTGATAATTGACTCGATCAGTTTAACCAACTATTCATTTAGTTGAAAATAAACAACATTGAAGACCAAAACAGAAATGATAATAACTTTAGGGAGAGAAGGCCAGTTTCAAATAATAATAAAGGAGGGGGGATTAAGTGAAAAGTATATAGCGTGAGCCTCTCTCATTATGTAAGGTGCGGCCTGATCTTCAACTTTGCTGACAACTTGAAATTTAAGAAAATATCATAAATAAATGAGGGATTATAATTAACTGGCGGGTGACAGAGTTGAAATAAGAACTAACATCAAAGTTGTGTACAGTCCACGAGCCACAGATGAAGAACCCTCTAACTGGACTGAAGCTGAGAGCAGCATGGCATGAGACTCCTGCTGCCCTCTGAGGGATCTGGTCCATTATTAAAGGGTGTGGTGCACAGCCCTTTGTAGGAGACATTTAAGGGTTGAGGAATGTTGAGAGACTAGTAGGGTTGGGAAACCTGGCTCCCCATTTATTACGTTTCTAAAAAAGGTTTTGCCTAGCTCTTTAAAAGGCCTGAACTGATTGAGGTAGTTAGGTACTCCAAGTCTATGCTTACTCTTCCACCTTCTCTAAACATGGCCCCGTTTCATAACATTTACTTCAACCTTGCTGATTTTCACCTGTAAAACTTTACTTTTACAACATTACAGAGAAATAGACACTCTGTTGCTATGAGTGCCCATATTCAGCTCCCCAGACTCAGACTGTTTTTCTGAGCTAGAGTTACACTATCTGTTACACTGCACCTCAAGTGATGATGACATGGCCAAAGCCAACACTGCTGTGTACAAGGAACAACAGCTGATCACACAACGTCTGACAAACACCAAGTCTGTTTTATCTTGATGAAAGGGGACAGTAATAAACCAGGCGACAAAACCTAGACTAATAATCCCTGAAGAAATACTTAACGTTTCTACACTTTGAATACATCATTCAGATGGATCTGTATCATACTGACCTTATTAAACCAAATAGATATTGTCAGACCAAAATGATGAATCCACATAAACTATAGCTTCTTAATTACTGTCATCAAATTCAGTGTTACCAATATCAGTTATATTTCAGCAGGTCCTACTTCCATCAGACAGAAATGTATGCTGTGAAGTACACAGATTTTAAACTCAGGATTATATGTGTACTTGCTATCAGCAGATACCCAAGCTCAGATATCAGAAACGGTATCAGGAGGAGGAGAACAAGTTCAATCAGTACATCCCAATTCTAAATAAAACCCCAAAGTTCAGCTTCCACTATGTGCTTTGTGTTGGCATGCTAAACACACAGCTTTGGAAACAGTAGAAAGACGTGGAAGTACAGTGCTGGAATATATAATGAACAACCCAACATCTTAACATTTGAGAACAGACACATGATTGTTAAGTATGGATCTATACAGAACCCTTCCAGTACAAGTACACCCTGTGTTACTCAGAGTTGCAGGAAAAAGGGAAAATGACTAGGGAGAGTGTAAGAATGCCACTGAGCAGGTTCAGTAATTGGGATTCTTCCCCCTCAGCAGAATAGCACCTAGGGTGGTCAAACTGATTTGACTGTGTAATTATACTCATATTAATTGTGGACTTTGAGATTGATATTATTCCTCTGAACACAGCACCAGATACAATAAATCACATGAAACACACTTAGCGTGTAGCCTCTACTTAGGAAGTAACATTAATGCAAAGACAATATACAACGTAAAACCAATATTTTTATCATATAGAATAGAAAGTAGCTAATAGCACTGTATTTCACTACTTAATTGATACTTGTAACTTCGTAGTAGCGTCCTCTGCCTCCGCTAATACCATGTTATTACAGCTCACAGCGGAAGTTAGCCAACAAGTCAATTTCCACACACATTACTCAACCTATTAGGAAAAGCAACGAAACGCACCCCATAAAGCTAGGGTGGATACCTTTAGAAACAAATTACTCTGTTGCAATACTTTTACTGTGCCAAGTGTAATGATACGCAGCTAATGTTAGCTAAGCTAACTGGTTAACGTTAATCGCCCACCAAACTCTAGTGTTAGCCACATCTAATTAAGAACATTACGCATATTCGACATGCAAACAACATCCGACGTTAGCATCACACTTACCACTCTGTTCCCCCAGAAATACCAGTTTAAACTTTCTTAAAGGGTTTCCAAAGTCTCCGGCCGAAGACATGACTGAAAACTGACGATACTTCTCTCCACAGCTAGCCAGTAGCTAATGCTAGCTAACCAGCGGTTGTCAGATATCAACGATAATCAAGATGCCGGGTTGTCAACCCTCTACACAGGCCACCTGGTGATGTGATGTGTCGTGCTCCAAAATCCTTACTTTCAGCTTTCGGGAACTTTTTGATAACTCACTGACTACTGCGGCCAAGTTACCATTCCTGTCAGTTGTCTGACATGTCTAGAGCAGCTACCCACCCTGGGCTACTTTCTTCTTCTTCATAAACAAAGTTGACTGTGTTCCGCATGTCAGCCTTATTGTTCTGCTGCCCTCTGGTGGTGGAGGATACAACAGATAAGAGGGGAAAAGGTGAAACCCTAGCTGAACAACGCACTGAAGAATGCAACAAGAAATGAAAAGCTTTAAATCATAAACCACCTGTTTCCATTTACGCATGTATAGTGTACAGACATTAGGACCGAGGCATAACCAAAAGAAGCAGCCTGAAAATGAAGCGTGTTGTTTATCGAAATTTCCACCAGGGGGCGGACCCACCCTACCACCTACCAACCTTTATATTAATCGCATTGATGATTTACCTATGTTGTGGTAATGATTCAATTGACCCTTATATTTGATGAAAAACGTTTCCTCAGAATGGTCTTTTAATTATTACATTGACTTGAAACTGTTATGCGGTGTATCCTTGCCCTGTATACGTCTAGCACTTATAATAGTAAAGCATTTGCATATTTATTCTACAAACCTAGTATTAGGAATGTTTATGTATTGACACTCCCCATTTGAAAATATTGAGCAACACCATGTGGTGTTGAAAGACTGCTGCTTCTTTTTTTCTTAGCATGATTTGGAGGCATTCCTGCAATAATGTACATACATTCTTCTAGCCGCTATGTTATTGCCAGGTTTTACTTGCAATGCTCTGAACACCATCCAACTGGCATGATTATCTTTGTGATTTAAAATAATAATCACAGTTGTGGGTAGCAGTGTGTAGGTGTGAAAGTGGAAGTCTTACTTGTCAGACACTTTTTTAAATTGGATCTTGCAGTAATGTTTACAGGAGCTCATTCGATTGCTTATGACCTTCAGCTCAACGGACAGCTGCTGTCCAGAAGGTGAAAGCCCTCAATATACAAGGTGACTTCATTTACCTGCTTCAGCCAGAGACAAACCAACAAATTAACAACTTATATTGACTCTATTCATGATCAATATAATACTGATTTTATTTGACTGATAACAACTTGTTAGAAAAATTACCTTAAAATTGTGTAACACGTGTTTCTAGTGATGTTTTTCACATGTTTAGAAATATAATAATATTTTTAACAATAATAATAAAAATAGTTGCCTACTAATCCAAAGGATTCAAATTGAATTTTTCTATTTTTCTTTCCCTATTGATGTTTATTCAGCACAAGATAGAACAAAGGCATGATGATATATCAGGGATGTTGCTGAGGCATTTACAAAGCCAGGGTCTGCTCTTTCATTCACACAAAACCACACTTGATCGTAATCATACTCACATTTATTAATAATCACCTCTGGCTTTCATATTTCATCAAGTGTCCTTGTCGTGACGATAATGCCATTCTTGCATAACTCTTAATTAACATTGCAAATATTTAAATATTGAACCCAAATATATATATATAAATTAAAAAAATTAAAGTACCACTTATTTTTCCATTAATGTTATTAATCATGTTGCTGCTTTACAATTGTTTGAGTACAGTATGTGTGTTTTTTGCATGCTAGACGCTGGCTATTCTAGGTCACTGTCGACACACCTGCGCCTTCTCTCTCTCACTCATGTGCTATCTAGCTCTGAACTCTCCTCTCCAAGAGCTGGCTGGCTGATGCGAGTGCTTCAGCTGCTCTGCTGGTGAACTCAAGCCTCGCCAAACGAGAGCCCCCCCTCCCTCCCTGCTCTCCCCAACAGCACTCTTAGCATATGTCCTTGGTGAGGGAAAGACCCCAAGTCCCCCCGCAGAAGATGCTGAACTAACAAAATCCTCTTTCGCTCTGTCTCCCCCACTCAGTCCTTTTATCCCACACACACAGATGCAGAGGGATTTTTTATTTCTTCATGCACACACACACAACGAGATAGATCGATCACACACTAATGCACAGTAGAGGTTGTTGTGTAAGAGCTGTGAGTGTAAATTTGCCCACCTTGATGCTTTTTGTTTTCAGAAATAACACAACATATCTTTGAGGATGTTGAATTTGTATCAAATGTTTCCAAATCGCCCCAAAGGCATTCACCTTATTCAGCAACAAAAAAACTGTCAGCTAAAAAAGCATGTCATGCACAATCAAAGGAGTATGACTAAAAGGAATTGCAGCACAAATGAATTGAACTTGTCACCCCAAGCCATGACTTCATTCTAGTGTGCTGGTCTCATGTCATGCCACTGCATCATTTACTTGACTCAGTCTTCTAGATGGGGAAACCTTGCTGTGACTCACAACCTGGAGGGGGAAAAAACCCTATGTTTGTTTTCTTTTTCCCGTTTGTGTATTTCCTGGTGTCTTAGAGATGCACATGAATTCGTCTAGGTGTGTGAGCATGTTACTAACACTCCATACATCTGCCTTTATCTCTCTGTGTAATGGAGGGAGACCATCCCGCTTCCACACCACCTTAATATAAATCTAATGAATGCAGCTTTCAATGTCACAGCAAAGTACAATACAGCGCTCATCTCTCCTGAGAGGGGAGAGGGAGCACGGGGGCTGTAATGGAAGATGGGGGGAAATGGACAGAAAGAGGCACTGATGTAGAAGATGAGGAGAGGAAAAACAGGACGGGCGTGAGGGTTAGGTCAGGGTAAAATAGGTGTGTTGTCCATCCCTTATACATTAAGATGGAGAAAAGGAGGAGACAGATGGGGGATGGGGTGGAGCAAAGCCACAATTCCCCGGTAACCCTCCTCCTGGAAGCATGGGCCGGATGGTCTATGACAATGAGTGGGGAAAGAAAGGAAGAGGTTTATTGAGGATGGGAAACACCACCAGGCTTACAGACTGAAAACAAAGGATTGAAGGGGAGACGGGGCATGAAGCATGCTTAGATCTCAAATGCCCTTTTTTCTGTGCAACATCAGGCAGGAACAGACACAGCAGTACGGTGGGAGGCATTCTTGCAAGCATAAGTAAAGCAGCGAGCAGGGTAGCAATCCAAGCACATTTTCCAGAGGAGGGAGGGTGGGAGGGAGGGAGGAAAGCAGAGAGAGAGAGCAGATCTATGAGAAGAAGAGGAGGGGGGGTGTTGCATGCTCGCAGAGTGTGACAGAGATAGAGCGATTCCATGAGCGAGAAAGAGACACAGAGAAAGAGAGGGAGAGCACAAAGCAGAGATGGGGACCGAGCACTGAGATAGGGGGAGTTGGTAGGACTGAGATCTGCACACAAACGTGAGTAAAGGAGAGGAAGGAGGAAGAGCGGGGAGGTTGAAGGAGAGCAGGAGGAGGAGGGAAGAGAGGGATGCAAGATGATGGAGCCCAGAAATAGTCATCACAGGACAGCTTTTCATCCCCGCTCTCTGCGGCAGACATGACTCTGGGCACTGGACTGTGCAGAAATTAGTCAGGGGGACAACACAGGACAGCAGGTCTGCAGCACACTGCCTTGGTTCAGCCTCACTGGATGCAGCAAGGCAGCTGATTTATTACTGAGAGGCTGGGTGGCAGTGTGTGTGTGTGTGTGTCTGTGTGTGTGTGTATGTGTGTGTGTGTGTGTGTGTGTGTGTGTGTATGCAGGTTTTTATGGGTCCTTGTAGCACTCAGGGCTGTGGGAGCGACCATTCCTCCAGTCGTAAAATGACATTCAGCAAGCAGGAGCTTCGTGTGCTGGTGTGGATCTGCAGTCCTCAGTAGGAAGTGGAAGAGTGGGATTCCTAGCGGTCTTGGAGTGTGTGTGTGTGTGTTTACAGTGCTGTTCACTGAGGTGAGCCAAGGAGGATCAGCTGTATGCAGCGTGTGTGTGTGTGTGTGTTTAGGTTAGAGTAGCAAGGCTGCAGCAAAGGCAAATCTTCTACACAATGCAAGGACAAGCACAGAGCAACACTGATGGCAGGGAGTGCAGGTAGAGCACAAGGAGCGCCCTGGGGGTAGGGTGGAGGACGAAGGCAGGGACAGACGAGGAAGAGGAGAAAAGAGCAAGGGGACGGGCAGAGGCAAGTGGAAAAGAGAGGGTGATCATGGCTGTCATACAGTGAGCTATAGCATATGCTGTAGCGCAGAACAGAGCGGTGCGGCAGGGGGAGGACAAGCATCACCGCGCAGGGGAGGGGGAGAAGGGAAGGAAGAGACTGAGGGAAAGAGGAGGGGGAGGCAATCAGCTCAGCACCTCTCCTCCACCAGGAGGAGAAGCACAGCGGGACAGGCCCAGGAAAAGACACTCGTTCTCACACACACAGTCAAAGACAAGCGGCCAGGTCAACGTGTAGAGGTCAAAAAGAAGCTGGTCCTGGGACGGGGGTCGGGTGCACCCCCGCTGGTCCAGAAGGTCCACAAGAGCGCAGGCTGGTCCTGAGAAGAAGTAGAAGTCCTTCGGAGGAAGAGGGGTTGGCTTCCCAGATCCTGTTTCTTCTGAGAGCCCTGCTACCTCTCCATCACCATGGGGGAATGGACCATTTTGGAGAGGCTGCTGGAGGCGGCTGTCCAGCAGCACTCTACCATGATCGGAAGGTAAGGCTCTGATGAGTTTTGTGTGTAAAGGTTATATTGTCTGGTTCTGTTTATACTGATAAGCTGGGTGTCTCAATGTATGTTTTCTGTATCAGTTGATGAATCCCCCTCCTCAGGCTTGTCCCAGTGCTCTCCTCTGTTCTACAGTCCCCCACAGTCATCACTGCCTCCCCCGTCCTTTCCTCCCCCATGCTCTCCTCACCGTTACCCTCCACAACCATCATTAGTTAAGAGATAAAATAATTGCATATAATCGATATCAGGCTTTACTGGGCATTATGGTTAATTCTGAGAGGTTCTTGTGTTGATACTACCTAATAGCCTAGCTATTGATGGATAACGCTTGATGCTGTTGGCCACAGACCAATAGGACAGAAGGAGGAGAGGGGAGTGGGGGGGAGGAGAGCAGAGGTGCAGAAGATGAAAGGATGATGAGCAAGCAGGTGTGGAAGGCAGAATCAAAGGGGAAGTAAATGGCTCTGAACTCTGTGTGAACTTGGGACAAAAAACACAAGTTCATTCGATTTGTTCTTAACAGCAAACAATTATTTGCATCGTAGAGTAAA